GGGCTCTGCCTGTCCCCATTCACCCCAGCTCCTGGGCTGTGCCATGCCATGGTGCAGGCAGCTGGTGTCGGCTGCTCCCGGGGCTGCTGCAGCAGGGGCTGGGGAGAGCGGCAGCAAGCAGAGCCCCAGGATGCGACACAGCTTGTCTGCACTCACCCCAGCCCCCACTGCAGTGGCCCCAGGAGTGACCAGTGCAAGCTGCAACAGGAACTGACAGTGGGTGCGGGTTGGGGGGGAGAAGGGGGGAGCTGTTCTGCACTCCCCGGGAGGGCTGCAGGCTGTGGGCTGTCAGGCTCTTCCTGGGGAGCATGTCCCCCCCTGGATCTGGATACGGGATGACAGCAGGCTGCCACTGTAGGCTGGGGCCCGTGGTAGCACTGGGCTGTTCCCAGAGCTCAGTGCACCCACCCCGAGCACTGGGAAGAATCAGCCTGGTGCTGCCACCAGCACCAGCCTGCTGTCATCCCACGCGATCCAGGCGCATGTGCCCCTGGGAAGAGCCCGACACAGCCCCTCAGCCCTCCCAGGGGGTGTGGAGCAGTAAGAGGTGAGCTCCCCCCACCCCACACACACCCACTGACAGTTCTTTTGCAGCTGGCACTGGCACTCCCAGGGCTGCTGCAGTCGGGGCTAGGGTGAGTGTGGACAAGCTGTGCCACGTCCTGCACTGCCTGGGGCTCCGCTTGCTGCCACTCTGCCCAACCCCGGTACTAGCTGCCTTCATCATGGCATGGTGCAGCCCAGGAGCTGGGGTAAGTGGTGACAGGCGGAGCCCAGGTGTGGGGGGAATGGGTGAAGCACGGTGCAGCCCTGGGAACAGCACCCCTTCCCCTTCCTAAGTCCGAGCCTCACTCCCTCTGTCCTGCACTGCCTTGGGAACCTATCCCTATTTGTTACATTATAAAGTGGGTTCGCTTTATGTGAGGAAAACCTGAATAGCCTATGGCTAAACCTCCGAAAATGGTCCCGAATCTCTCCAAATTGATTTGGAGGCTTCTGATTTGATTTGGACCTCTTAATGGGTCTCCTGATTCAATTCAGATTCAGAGATTAGGCCCTCAAAATGAGCTGAAGCTCCTTCAAATTGAATTGGCTACCAAACCTCTGCACAGCCCTAATGACTAGTGGGTGTCAAATGCCAGAGGAAGACAACTCTGCTATGCTTTAGTCCAACAACCTAGTTGTCAAGGTACTTCCCCTCCTCTGGAGGGGGCTTGAACCTCCATCTCCTATCTCCCAGCACAACTACCAAGACACCGGCATTATATAAACCTCTCTCCAGCCCTGCCTTTGAAGCTGACCACCTGAACATCCAAAAGGAGATATGTGGGGACAGGAGACAGAGAACAAACCATAGGGTATGTGGCTCAGTGAGATGGATGTTACTGTGGAAGAGAAGGGGATTTAAGGTCTAGCTGGGATCCTTGCTCCCTGTGGGACAGAAGTTTCCTTGCTGCTCCTAATTCATTTTAATCAATAAATATTGAATAGGAGTACAGTGGGTCAGCTTCAAGAGAAGGGCTGGAAAATGGTTTGGGTAATGCCTAACTTTTGGCCTGGTGGTTAGAGCCTTGTGTGAAGGAGAGGCAGGTTCACCTTTGCTGGGTGAATGGGGCCTAGAACCTCAATCTTTCAACACCTTAGGTGGTATCATAGTCACCAGCAACATCTTTACATGTTCTCTAAGGTGAGGGGGAGGCGGCACTTTAATTAGAGCAGCTTTTAGGAGCCCCTGTAATTAAAGTGCCTCCAGCATCTCATATATCCAATGTCCTGCACTTCAAAATGGCAGTGGGGATGCTTAAACTAAAACTCTTTTGATGACCTTTAGTTAAAGTACCTCTGCCACCATTTTGAAGCATGGGGATGCTGAATACACAAGATGCTGAGGATGCTGGAGTGTGCTAATTAATCAAGTCTGCTCCAATGCATGCTAATTAGCAGGCATTGGGGTAGGTGTCAGGCTCGTGTAGCTACCTGAGGTTCTTGGGTTAGAAGGTAGGAAGGCCTGATTCCTCCTTGCTTATAGCAGGAATGTACAGTGTTCAAGGTAATATAGAATCTGAAACTGCAGATCTCCAAAACCGTAGTTATGCAATTGGACAACTGTCATTTAGTCATGCAAAGTGAAACAGGATTCTGCCATAATAGCTTGCCCAAGGTTATATAAGAAATTTGAGCCACAGTCAGGAACTGAACCTGAACTCTTAAGGCCCAGTTAGAGCTCTGTGAATAACTCAGGTGAGACCCCCAAGGTGAGGGCTCAGGAAGACAATCAGACTGCTCCC